AACCTGAATGGCTCCTCTAGAGACGCACCCCAGACCAACAGCAGCAGCAGAAGTGGGAAAATGGGAAACATGTACATTCTTGGCCTCAGATCTGCTGAACCTGAACCTGTGAGAGGGCGACCTGGCATGCTGAGCAGTCCTGAAGACGTGTGACAGTCAGGAGCACCATCCTCACCCACGCTCCATGCTTTGCATCTTCCAGAAGAGCCTTTCAGGATGTAAACATCTCCCTGCGCTTCCCACACAATTACTAGCTCTCTGGGGCACTTCACCGTGCTTCTCCCGCAGCAGGGATCAGCCAACACTCACTGCTCCCATAAAACAGGCTCGAATCTGGAAATCTGTGCAGAGCGCATGAGGCCTCCACTAAGTGTGCTTTGCCTGCTAGTGAATGTTTTGAACTGTTGGCCAATGCTAAGACCTAGCTTTTGGAATTTGCTGAAAAAGTATAAATGTAAAGATCAGAATTCCCTAGGCAACAGTCAACTGATTGAAGGCTGTCTGTGGCAAGGCATGGAGCTCCAGTTAGCCACAGTCTCCACTATACCTTGCTGCCTCTAGACGCTCAGGCATCACTGAAGCCAGCCTCGCTCACTGACATTCCCAGCATGCATCTTAGGAGCACCTGGTTCAGAAGCATGAGTGGGCAGTGGAGAGTTAGCTAGAAAAAACATCACGGGACCAGCGCTAAAGTCCTCGCCTTGAATGTGCCGGGATCCCATATGGGTGTCAGTTCTAATCCCGGCAGCTCCACTTCCCATCCAGCTTCCTGCTTGTGGCCTGGGAAGGCAGTCGAAGATGGCCCAAAGCTTTGGAACCCTGTACCTGTGTGGGATACCCGGAAGAAGTTCCTGGCTCCTGGCTTTGGATCGGCACAGCACCGGCCACTGCACTGACTTGGGGAGTGAATCATTGGATGGAAGATCTTCCTCTCTGTCTCTCCTCCTCTCCGTATATCTGACTTTGTAATAAAAATAAATAAATCTTTAAAAAAAAAAAGGAAAGAAAGAAACATCACTATCTGTTGCTTAAGTTAGTTCTGAGTGGCATACTGAACAAAGGAAGGGTAAGAAGTCAACATCTGTGATGAACCATGCCAGATACAGCACGCAGTCAAGCAGTTAAGATGCCCTGCGTATTGCCTGAGCTTGCATTCTTAAGGAAAAGGACAAAGCTAATTTCTGAGAATAATATTACCTTGAGAGCTGTTGTAAGTTTTAACAGGGGTCACTGTTGTGGCACAGAGGCTACATGTTCATGTCCTGGTTGCTCCACTTCTGATCCAGCAGCCTGTGAATGGGCTCAAAAAAGCAGCATGAAGATGATCGCTCTAATTGTCTGAGCCCTACACCCACATGGGAGACCTGGGTTGCTGGGGTGGGTGCAGTAGGTGTGGATGGCACGAAGGTGTGAAGAGAACAGCTCCCCTGCTTGGCAGGGCCCTGGGGAGCTTCCAGTTGTTAGGCAAGAAGTCTCTCTGACCACCTTGACACAGTCTCACCACCTTTTTGCGTGGACACTCAAGCACCCCACTAAGAATTCTGTAATCTATTGAGGCATTGTTTGCCCATGTGGGATGGCTTTTGCCATCAATGTGAGCTTGAGAGTTAATGTTATTGATAATGTCTTGGTGAGTGGGCCTTTAACTGCGCACAGGAGTACAATTAAACCTACAATTAAACCCATGCCATTTCTGGACACCTTATTGTATGCCTACCCATTGCCCTGAAATAGGCCCAGACATATAGCATGCCTTCTGCGAAATGGCTTAATAAGAATTTTACAAAGTAATGGAAGTGATGGGAGTGAGAGCTGAAACTGCTACGGCAATAAATATAGTCACTGTTATCTCAAAGGCTAGCCTGTCTTTGCAATTTTTGGGAGTGTAGGAAATGTAATTGTTTTAGCTGCTTTTATAATTTAATTTTTAGCTAGAGGAATTAAAGATGCTTTTATTAAAGTAAAATGCTTTTGATTATTGTTTCATTGTTTATGGGGTTGTAGAATCTATAGTTGTAGGGGAATCTAACATTTGAAATTTCTGTTTTAGATTTGAGGTTTTTTCCCTTGTAACCTATTTTCCCATTAAATGATGGGTAAATTGTAGAAGTAAAAATGTGGTGGGAAAGTACTACTGATTAGCAGGTAATCGCATGTGCCTTGGCCTTGGAGTCCTGGCTGTTGCTCCATGGCTACTGTTGAAGAATAAATAATGGCTTGCTTTGAAGAATATGAATACAGTATTTTGCAGAATTATCTTTAGGGGCACCTGCTTAGCCTTGAAGTGCAGACGGAGTGACCAAATGTCTGTACAGGCCCCCTTAGTCTTGAAGTAAAAATAGAATAATCAGTTGTTTGTGTAGAAGCTTGTGAGGTGTCTGAGTAAATAAAAAAGACAGCTTTTTCTTGGGCTGTTGTGAGAACGCACCAAGTGTCCGTGTCTGTGTCTTTCTTTATCGCCGACTCCACGCATCCTTCCCGAGCTCCAAACTCGGCTGGAGCTGGACTCCGGCACTGGGTGAAGCCCTGACTTCCGCATGCTCTAGCCCTGGCTGCCTCAGCCAGCTGCAGAGTGAGCCAAAATCTCTCTCTTTACCTCTAGCTTTCAAACAAATAAATCTTTAAAAACAAAAACATCATGAGCTTAGAACAAGCCAAGGACAACAGCAGCTCCTAGACACACTGAATACTCTGAGTCATCACTGAATGTTTTTGACTTCATCATAGCAACGTGAGTGTATACACAGTGGGCCAGGCTTCTGCCATCTGGAGGCTGGGAGAGGCGACAATGGAATTAAAAGCCAGGGCAGCATGTGCAAACTCCAGGCAGCGGGAATGTTCTCTTAGGCAGGGCAAGGTTGGTTTCGGTTCTGCTCAGACCTCCAGCTGATCAGATGAGGCTCCACCCGCTGCTTCACCAGTGCCTACCAATCTGACGTCAGTCTGCCCAGAAACCCCTTACAAACACACCCAGAATAATGTTTGACCAAATCTCTTGGAAAGCCCCCGCCCGGGCAAGTTGACACACAGTTATCCTAACTTCCCCCAGCCCATTCCAGGCAGGTAGGGAAGCAAAGACACCACTGGGGAGGCTAAAATCTGTGCAGAACGAGGAACAGGATGTATCTGTCCAAGAAGAGGACTAGGGCCTCCTGGTACCTGATGCCGGTCCCGCTTCACAGCTGCTCCTAGAGAGCTAGTTCCCTCAGCATCTAGTCCAGGCCACCCTAGAGAAGGATGCCCAGCTATGTGTCCATGCGTCCACTTGAACACTTATCACTCTGAAAGCATGCCAGTGGCATCAAGTGCTGGAGGGGCAACTGGAATGGCTCCCCCTGCTGAGGGATAGATGCTTGAGAAAGCAGCTGGTAACAGCTCACAATGCCCCAGCAACACTACAACCAAGTGCTTGCCACACAAGACTCCACAGTCATTCTCACACACAAGTCTGTGTGCAGATGCTGGCCGAAGCTTGATGTATGATGATTGGATGCTAGAACGATCTGGATTTTTGTCTGTCCACTTCACTCTCCCGGTCCTCACCGGTCCTACAGCCTGCAGCCTCCCAGAGCCTCAGAAGGCCATGGTAACTATCACGTCCAGATTTGTCTCTAAGCCCTGGAGACATTTCCTTCCAGCCTTGCTCCTCTGTGAAAGCTGGGATTCCCAGGGGGTTGGGGGAAGGGCAATTTTGTTTCCGGGAACCATGAGGCAATACCCAGGTGCATTTTTGGTTTTCACCATGAACGGGGAGGGTACACTGGCATGCAGGGGCTGGGAGCCAGATATGCCACTAAACATTGTTAATGCACAGGATAGCTGCCAGACTGAAGAAGGGTCCAGCCCTGGATGACCCTGGGTGCCAAGGTTGAGGGGCTCCTGGTACAAAGGAAGGAAGGTAATGCCTGAGGGAACTCAAAAACATTCATGGAAGAATGGATTGAAAAGTAAGTTTACCTGGGCACAAAAACAATTCAAAACCCTTCCAGAGAACACAACCATGAGCCATCATTGGTGCAAGGTTTTTTGAAATTTTCATCTCCTTTACTGTCCCTGAGCCTTTCTGAAGGAGGTGTGATTTAACCTCACTCAGGAGTTTATGGTCAAGATACCTCTCTAAAGAATGTGCCCACACCCCAGGGATGGACGCTGCAGATGACCTGACCAGGATGGCCAACCCCTGGTCCCTGCTGAGTGGCACCTGGGTCAGGGCAGGCTGCTCTGGCGACTGCTACTCACTTCCTTCTCCTCTTGTCCTGGAGTGCTCTGCAAGGAAGGGGCCGGCTGGAGTGGCAGGAGGGCACCCCTTACTCAAGAGGGAAATGGAAGGCTTCTATCATCACTGAGAACCCCCCAGGATGGTGGCATGGAAGATGCATCGCTGGTCCCTTGGGGTACTCATGCCCCTCAGAAAGGCCAGCTGCCACTCAAGAGGTGGCTGTCTCCCTCTGCTGCTCACCAGCACCTGCTGCTGGTCGGGGCCACACAGGGAGCTATGGGCAGCGCAGACAGACTGGAATCCAGAACGGGAGAAAGGGAGCAGTATGTACTCTCACTGGTCTCTATACTAACCATGATGAGCAGAGCTTACTAAAGAAAATCAGTGACCACTGCACTAAGCAGGCCTGGAGTCACACTCAGCATTCTGACTGCTTCACACACCACGTTTCAACAGTAGGACTTGCACTATCTGCAATGGATGAGGAGAGAAAGTGAGCAGCACAGAAGAGGAGGAGAACAGTGGGGAGACGGCAGACAGGCAAGAAGCACTCGCGTTAGAAGTTTAACAGAAAATTCAAGAGACGAGATGCAGATGAACCTCATACAGTGACAAACTGCAAGACTAGGGGAGCCTCATGCAAACTGGCTGGAGCCAAAAGCATGGGAATGTAACCAGAGAAGGGCATCAGGTCTCCAGGGGGACACCATCAGGGTCAGCTCCTGATGGCGCCGGGCTCAGCCACTGCCCGTCCCACCCAGCCGGCGCAGCCAGCACTCACAGCTCCAGGATGAGAATGACGTCGGTCTTGTTCTCATAGACCTCATGCAGCGTGATGACGTTGGGGTGCTGGATCTCTTTCAGGATGCTGACCTCCCTCTCGATGTCTTCGCGGCTCACGCCACGCCGGCTGGACTTGGTCCTCCTCTTCTTGATAAACTTGGCAGCATACTGCAGGCCAGTACTCTTCTCGCGGCATTTCTTCACCACTGCAAACTGCCCGCTGGAAAGAAAAGATGGGAGATTCTTCAATGGGCACAAAAAAAAAACCCTACAAAACACCCAGAGACATATATGAAGGTGCAGCAATGGAAGGGCAGGAGACCTCTGAATGGCAAAGTTCAGGCTGTGGAAAATAACAAATTTAGTAGTAAATTTATATTGATTTATTGTGTATCTATTTGGAAGGCAGAGAGAGATTGACAGACAAGATGGATAAGAAAAAGATCAACATCTACTGGTTTATTCCTTAAGTGTCTGTAACAGCCAGGGCTGGGAAATCAATTCAGATCTCCCATGTGGGTGACAAGAAGCCACTCACCTGAACTGTCACCTGCTTCGGCCCACGTTCTCCAAGAGCAGGAAGCCGGAGTCAGGAGCAGAGCTGGCACTCGGATGTGGAATGCGGGTATCTCAACGACGCCTCACCCACCACAGGCCAAATGCCTGCCATGGAATTCAGTCTTACTAAGCCTGTTTTTCTGAGTAATGCTTCCTTTATTTAAAGGAATATAAATTCTTAAGGCAGTGATGTCCTTCCCTCCCTGCTTCCTATTTCAAATTCTGGTACAGTAAGACAAAGCTTTCTGGTCTGCCCTAATTTTTTTTAAGTATTTAATTTATTTATGTATTTAGATTTTATTTATTATTTATTTAATGTGAAAGACAGAATTACAGAGCAAGAGTATGTGAGAGAGAGAGAGAGAAAGAAGGAATCTTCATCTGCTGTTCGTTCCCCAAATGGCTGTGATAGCTAGAGCTGGGCCAGTCTGAAGCCAGGAGCCTGGAGTTTCTTACAGACACAGAGGCCCAAGCACGCAGTCCATCTTTCACTGATTTGCCAGGTGCATCAGCAGAGCTGGATCAGAAGTGAACAGTCTGGGCCCCAACTGGCGCCCATATGGATGCTTGTGCCACAGGCAGCAGCTTTACGTGCTGCACCAGTGCTAGTCCCCTGACCTCACTTTCTTCTTTATTTTTTTAAGATGTATTTTATTTTTATTAGAAAGTCAGATACACAGAGAGGAGGAGAGACAGAGAGGAAAATCTTCCATCCAATGACTCAAACTGGTGCCCATATGAGACACTGGTCAAGCAGACTGAGGCTCGTTAGCCTGCTATGCCACAGCTGTGGCCCTGAAGATTATTAAATCTAAAAATGAATTAAAAAGCAGAGATCAACCAAAAGAGAGCTACAATATAGAAATCTGCTTAAAAACAAATACAGTCAAGAAGAAAAAAGTCCTAAGAGGATGATACCATTTCCCCCAAAAAAGCTTATTTTAGTGCTGCATTAACAATGTACAAAATTATTACTATTATTATATAAATCTGTCTGCTAGGCCTCATCTCTGTAACTATCCAAGCTGTCTTCAGGACAGGAACTCAAGGCGGGCGGCCAGGCCCAGGTAGGACCATTGGGCACTCATGGGCACCTGAAACCACTTCTTGGGCACTTCCACCACAGGATCTCACCAGGCGGCCATCAGAAGAAATTCCTCCCTAATTGCAGTCCTTTGCATTGAGTCCGACAGTGGATGGCTGCTCTGAGCCTTCCCTTCCTAGACACTTGGTTCCTGGCACTCCCCCACGCCCAACCCCTGGTGCTCACTTTCCTTCCTGGGTTTGGGATGCTCTGGAGGGCAGCTTCTCCTCTTCAATCCCCACCACCCCCAAAGCAAGAAGAGGTGCAGATTGGAATAGCAATGGGATGCAGTGTGGGAACTGCACTTACAGCAGGAATGGAAATGAATGCAGACCGTGCCAAGGCCACCATTGAAAGAGAGAGGGGGCTGCCTATCTTGCCTTCTCCCATCAAAGAGGCTCTTCAGTAATTAACACCGAGCCAGGCGGCCCCTGTACTAATTAATACATTTACTACAGCTAGGGCTGAACTGCGGATGGATGGGAAGGAAAGGGATAATCTGCAGGACATTTAACGGTGATGAGACAGAACAGCTCATCCTCATCATTCATAAATGCCGTACTTGTGAAGTCGTCTGCTCATGAGCATTAATTTGTATTCCCCAAGTCAACACTTGTGGCATGTTTGTGGTCCCTCATGAACAGAGATTGGCAAAAAACTGCATCACCGACACACAGGTCCCCAGCTGACGTCAAACAAGGGCACAGTGTACTCCAAGCAAACCTGCCGGACCTCATCAAGTTTATTTTCAAGTTTACCTGTAAAAGCCTCTGTTTGCATTAGGGCAAGAAAAATGGATGCTCAACATTGGAGAAGAGGCTGCATTCATAACAGACACAATGCAATGTATGTCTCAATGGGCATGACCATCAGCTCCTGCCCCCTGAGTTGGCACAAACCTGGTCTCTCATTTTCAATGCTGGCCATATCCAGGTACATGACACCATGAGCTTCCACCTGCGCAGACAGGTGCAGCTTCCACAATGTGTGGCTCAAACAATGTATCACTTTTTCATCCATGACTTTAAATATGTGCCCAATGATTCATGTGCAGATTATAACCAGGCCTTCCCTTTATTAATACTGGGAACAGAGCTGCTATATATATATAAATAAAGATTCACTTATTATTTTAAAAAGGCAGTTACAGAGAGAGAAGGAAAGACAGAGGGGTCTTCCATTTTCTGATTCACGTCAGGAGCCAGGTGCTTCCTCTGGATCTCTTACAGAGGTGCAGGGACCCAAGACCTTGGGCCATCCTCTACTACTTTCCCAGGGCATAGGAAAGGGGCTGGATTGGAAGCTGAGCAGCCACGACAGGAACTGGTGCCCATATGGGATACCACAAAATGAAGTTGCTCAGATGAGTTCACACACAGTTCTCTAAACACACCAAGTACACATAAAGGATGAAAATTAGGATGGCATCTCGGCAGCTCAAACCAACGGCGCTTCTCCTTACTTAGCTTCTTTCTGCCCAAAACATTTGAAACTTAAGTGTTAAGTCTCTGCACTTCCCTTCTCATTAAGACTCAACACAGCTGTATCCATTTTGGATGGAGACATATTTGTTTTTGTCCCATTCGGTCAGCAGGTCAGCAAAAGGTCTTCTCGCTTTGATTAGATGCAGAAGCTGTTACTGGTGGTAAGCGAATGGGGAGAAAACCATATTTTGCAAAGACAGCCCAGTCCTATCTCTCCATGCATGGGATCTTCTGCAGAGCACCCTTTCAATTCTCAACAGGAGACAGAATGCAATCCTCAAATCCAACCAAGTCTGTAGGTACTGTGTGGTTATGTGCAGGGGCCATGGGCAGATGCTGCAGTTGAGACTGACAGCAGCCCTACAAAGCCAGTCATGCAAGTGGGCTGCAGTGGGCCTCTGCCTATCGTGCCTTCAGAGCAGCTAGGGCTGCAGGCAACATCTCAAAGCCATCCTATGAGTGGCCTCAAGAAAGGCCCACCCACCTGAATCCAAGTAGCCTACAGAGGCATGACAGCAAAGAGACTACCCCCCACAAACTGCTACCATCTGCTACCCAATTGTGGGCTGTTTTGTTACAGAGCTGTGGAAAGGTAGGACAGCCACTAAAGAATTCTGGGTGGTGCATGTGACGGTCCAGAAGGCTATGCAGAGGCAGCAAGCAACACAAAAGGAAGAGGCCAGTGGGTGGTTCAGTCACAGCCAGCCTCACCATTAGTGTAAGAAGGGAGCGAGCTTCCAGACCAGCAGACCCTATCCTGAGCTCACACAAGCAGCTTCCCATGCCACCAACAAGGGTGGACTTGCTTTTCCATTGTAGCAGCCATTCCCTCCACCTTTCAAGCCAAGTGCTGCATTATTTAGGACAGGACCCTGTCAGTCCATTTTTCTGTTGCTAAACAAGATCCCCAAGGCTGGGAACAACATAAAATGGTTTACTTGGAGGTTGGATGTCCAAGATCAAGTGACCCAATGTGATAGGCCCTGGTTGCATCAACAACATGGCAGAAAATGGAAATAGCTGCATATCAAAGCCAAAGACTCCTGGGGCAAGACAAAGAGCAAGAAATCCAAGGCGGTCAGCTCTCCAAGGTGCTAATCAACCCTGAAGAGACAATACTGATCCCTCCACAAAGGTGCTGCTTATGACATAATCTAACCACGCCTTCTGAAAGAGTCACCTGCTCTTAACACCATCACACTGGGGATCAAGCTTCCTGTCCATGAACCTGTGGGGGATAAATTGCACCAAAGCCACCACAACTGCAATGTCAGATACAAACACCGACAGCAACAAAACCCAGACCATCCCTGTGACATCACTGCATGTGTCTACCTGGCCCGAGGTAACTACTGCTCTCCAGCTCTGCCTTTCAATCTTAGTACATGTGCTGTGGAAGCATGCACTCTAGCTCTGCCTTTCTCAGAATCTGTGATGAAGCAGGTCCCTGCTCTAGGAAACATGCCAAAACCAAACACCAGACATGAACCAGTTGCCCAGTCTTCAGCTGGACTCTTCTAGAGCCCTCACTACAAGGACAATGCATGTATAAAGGAAGTGCTTCCTCTTCTCCTTCCAGGGAACCTCTCTTCCCATCCCTGCTGTACCGGCGGCACAGAGGCCAGCAGGTCACCATGGCAAGCCCTGTAGGGACACTTGGCCCTTTAGCCCTAAGTGGTACCCAATCCCCTTGGAAGGATTCTGTGGTGCAGCCCACACCTACAACTGCTCTCTGCGTGTTTTGACAACCGTCAAGGACAAGTCTAGCAAACTATGAAGCCGATATATAATTACTATCATTTAAGAAAATCCCACAATTCCCCCCAAAACTCTTGGATCTGCTACCAGGGCACAGGATTTGAAGGACAAGGGACCCCACAAACCAACAGCTGAGGTTGACAGGGCATAAACAGAGACAAGGAAAGTTTCTCAAATGGGGCCAGAGCAGTTTGTCAAGCTGGGGAATCAGAGCAGCACAGAGTCAAGGCTGAGACACAGGTCAGGGTCAGGCACAACAGTGCAGGAGTGTGGGTGCCTCCAGGACAGTGACATCTTCTGCCAGAGAAACATCCTCCCTCAGGCAGAGCAGCCTGC